CAACCAAACTAAAGCTGTTAATAGTCTCAATCTCTTCACCATCTATCATGATGTTGCCAATCAGCCCAGTGGTGAAAATCTTTGTTTTCTTGATATTGCGCTTCAATCCGTATTGATCTGAAGTGCTTGCTATGGAAGGTCCAAGTAGAGGTTTTGCATAAGCACGATCAAGTGTTCTTTGATTCTCATTCTTCTGAGTCAGCCACAGTTTGTTATGATCCACACAGTCAAATGCCTTTGCACAGTCAATTAAACACAGGTAGACATTCCTCAAGTACTCCCTGCTTTCAGCCAAGATAGATCTGACATTAGCTATAATATCCCTAGTATCATGGCCTCTTCTAAATCAAGCCTGCACTTATGGTAGTTCTCTGCTGACATGCTGTTTCCAGTGGTTTTTTTGCATATTTTTCAGCAGAATATTGTTTGCATGTGATATTAACAATATTGTTCCATAATTTTCGCACTCTGTTAAATCACACACAGCATAGTTTGATATTTAGGAAGACAAACATCATTTTGAAAAGCTGACTGAGATGGTGGTAGGTAGCCAAGGAGCCTAGATAGCAATGGCATTTCAGGCCCCATTTGAAGGGCTAGTGTTTGCATCCTGAAGCAGATCAGGATTTATGTGAACAGCATCTACTGAGTGATGATTTATTTGACTAAAGAATTTGCAAGGGGATCTTGACAAATCAAGGATGGGTTCTAGCTATGTATGTTCTTTTTATACATTATTAGGTATTTGATTCTCTATAATGAAGTCATTCAATAAAAGTGGAAGAAATTTGAAAAGAGGAGCTTAATTAAGTTGCTGTGTAAACTAAGTGGCAACAATTGAGATGCTCGAGTTTTAATGTCTAGCTTCAAACAAATATTTAATGATATTTTAACAATACTGAAAACTCTGGCTTTTTTTTCTGTCATCATAAAAAAGTATTCATGTGGGATCTTTGAAAAAGTTAGTGGCTTAAGACAAATTTTCAAAAAGCAGACAATATCTGGATACTCTTTTTACCCCACTATGTAATAAACCATTTTGAAGGACTGTCAGGACCCTAAACTTGGTACTACTTATTCCATTTTCTCAGAATATTCCCTTTCAAAATTCTTTTCTGAACTGTTATTTACATAAAGATAGTTTGTTGTTTTTTGCTGTTGTTGTTTTTTATTGCTGTAAGTATCTGTAAAATTTCTCTAGTTTAAAATTTTCCCCAGCTCATGCAATTTTATTGAATTAATAATAAAACAGCTATGTGTGTATATGTGGATTAGGTAATTATATATAATATAAAAACACACAAAAACCCCCAAACCATTATTCTGTTGCCCATAACAAACTATGTCTAACATTGGGAAAAATGGGAATCCTGCAACACTTAATTATATTCATGGAAAGCCTATAGTCAGACAAAAAAGCTGTTGTCAAAAAGAAAATGACAAAAAGGAAAAAACCAAAAAAACAAGGGAAGACTGCATGGCTTAAAATCAGGAAAGATGTGCATCAAGGTAGTATATATCTTCTTACTTATTCAATTTGTATGTTAAACAAAT